GACTAAATTTACTGTAGATTTAGTCGACTAAAATCTTAGATTTAGTCGACTAAAACTAGACTAAAACTAAAAACAATTCAGATGACTAAAATGTGACTAAAACTAAATTGCATTTTAGTCAAAAGACTATGACTAAAACTAAATCAAAATTTGCTGTCGAAATTAACACTGCTTCAATGAGAACTTTAAGCAATGAAATTCTGCTATGGGGCTGTAATTCCCTTGTGACGTCATCTGTGATGTCATTTACACTTGTAGATTTTTCCTTGCTGTCGTGTCTGAGAATGTCATGCATGGAAGATTAGCTATCATCTCTTCTCCTGCAGAGTCTCAGACACAAGCTTGTCTTTGGTAGGGTTGGGCCGATAGATGCAACAGCACAGGCGCAAGATGAATGTTGAGACGGGGCGAGTCAAGTAGGTGATAAGGTGATACTGCACATGTGTCAAGCTCATCCATCCTCGCCCATCCGCAATTGAGTATACTTTGAAAGCTGTGCAGACCAGAGTATGTGAGCGGAGTGGAGAGGCAACAATTTCCCGTCTGCACTCCAAGCATTCAATAATCACTCTGCTCCAGCTCTGCTCCGGGTTCACCATTTCCTGCTCCTCGCTCCACTCCTTACTCAACTGATCAGAAACACCGCTCCGCCTTCGCTCCATGACGAAATTTGCAGCTAAATGTCGGCGCCTATAGTTAGTTAGTTTATAGTTAGTGCATCGACATATAGCGCAACTGCGCTCACGACAACCCGAGTTCGATTCCCGCCTCAAGGTCCTTTGCCGATCCCACTCCCCTCTCTCCACCCAACGCTTTCCTGTCAGCTCTCCACTGTCCTGTCCCATTAAAGGCATAAAAAGCCCATAAATATAACTTAAAAAAAAAAGTAAATTATTTCAGTATGTTTTGAAATATCACAAAGTTCTGTTCAGAACTTATATTACATGAAAAATAAATATACAAAACTAGAAGAATAGTCTTAACGTGGTTTATTTGAACACTACAATTAGCCCAGTTCTATATTCAATGACTTGAACTGACTTGTCTGTGCAGAGTCTCTCTACTGTGGCGAAGCTGAGGGTTGTAGTTACTTCAGAAACAGAAAGAATATGCTGCAATTTTTCAGTTTTTAAGCTGATAAATCACAGGACAGCGGTGACAATTTTCTGCACTCCTGAATGTTTCTATGTGCGCAAGATCTGTACATTATGTGCGAGCTTGTGTGTTGTGCGCGTGTACAGCAGTGTAGCAGCACATTAGTTTAGAGTGGAGATTAACTACCTGTACAATAAACTGTTTAAAACGTGAATTCGCCCAAGCAATATTGAGTATCCACATGCTACAAACAAATATGTTTGAAATATAACCTCCCGCACTCGTCCATCGCCGTCATTATAACCTTCACCTTCTTTCTGATCTGAATGATCCACATATCTGTCAAGCTAGCTAACGATGTTTAATGCGTGAATTCTTGATAAAATGCAGTTATATTATGGGCTGTTGGCAT